CTGCAGGTGATTGCACTCCCCCACACCCCACACACACCCCCCCCTACACACATCTCGAGATTTTGTCTTTTTTTATGTTTTTTTAAAGCTAGCGCTTGACCACGATCCCATCTGAATAGAGTGATGATGCAGTCCAAAGATGGCACCAACATTACATCGACATAAACATTATCTTTCTAGCTATAACAAATCTTATAATTTTAACCTCCTCAAATTGATTTAAAAGCCATAAAACTAAGCGTGTACAGACAGATGGTATTGTGGACAAACGCTCATTGTTACTAATTGTAAAAACAGAATTAACAAATTCAGAAGTTTCCAGGTGTTTTTGTACTGATGTAAAATAGAGAAACAAAAGCTTTTTGCTCTCCAAAGAGAAATTGTTTATATTAATTAACTAGTAAATAAGAGTCGTTAGAAACATGTTACGATGGAAAAGGACAAACTTGGTGATCGAGTGAACATTACATTTAAGATTAATTAAGAACCGATTGAAACAGAATTTGATGTATTCTGAAAACTAACAGCTGCTTTTTCTGAAATATAATTAAGAGAAAAGATTTTATAAAATGAGCGATTACAGTTTGATTGTTATTTCTTAATGGAATATTTCAATGAAAGTGGATGTTTTGATTACAACTCTATTTGATTATTTGTAATTTACGATAAAAATAGATTATTTACAATGTGATAATAATTTATTGAATTTAATTTTGATTAATTCTTAGTCATTTTTTTTTAATTCTTTACTTAATTTCTAGTTATAATTGTTTTGATGTATTCCTGCAAATAATGTACATTGTCAGTTTATGTAAATACACTAACTGATACGTAAATATAGATTTAATACAAAATCAATGTAATGTAAATATTTTGAATTGTTGTAAATATTGAAATTCTGAGTTTATTTAATTATCTAACTAGTTCTTGTTCCACCGAATTCGGTGATAAAATTGTTTGTTTCGTTCCTAGAACACAATGTTAGTGGTTAATGAAAAATTCCTATTTTCATCAGAATCATGGTAAAAGTAATTTAAATGTACTCATCTTAATAAGTAACTTAATTTTTGCTCAACACTTAATAATATAAGTTTTAATTAAGTAATTTTTTTTAAATACGTCGATCATTACGTTTTAAATCTCTAAAAGCAACCATTAAAAAACATTATTTCCTTGAATATTTAGCAACTTAAAATAGCAATGTGACACTCCCTCACGACTCACGTGTCACGTAGCGTTAATAAACTTAAGATATAACGTTCCTCGTTATCATTTTATTCATAAAAGTGAGGCAATTTATAAATCCAAACATTTAAAACGGCAAACCTTTTTCCGTAATGAAAAGGTAATGTTTATTTAGGCCTTTCATTAGGGCGTTATATAAAAATGCCTTAATACAAAGCGAGCGCGGAATATACGAATGTCTCGTTTTGCTCAAACGCTTTGCATAAAAACGCGATCAAAGTTACACCGTCGGAATTAGGGTTGCCAACAATTACGTCGACGCAATTGTTCCCGTGAACTGACGTAACTTGATGCTGTTCCAGCAAATTGGCTTAAATGAAAGCCTCAAGGCTTCGATACCACGATATCTTTGACTTACATCTATCCTCCGGGCTTGACACGAGATATTTATCGCCCCCGCAGTTTACACAATTCTGTTTTTTTTATAACATCTAGTTATCAGATTAGCAGAACTGTGAGATTTGAAAGAAAAAGTTTTGCGCTCTTCAAGATTTTTGCCTTCCCTAACTACCAAAGTTCTTGACTTCTTTAAATAACGAAAATAAAATTTATTCTCTTTATTGTTAGGTACTTCGTACTTGTTTCTTATTGAAGAAATAGTATGGGTCATTTAAGTTAGGATTAACAATTTTGATTTAAATGCATGTTTCTGATGAAAAAAGGAATATTAAATGTACTTTAGGTAATAATGACAAATAATATTAAAATATGAATAAATCTATTAATTGTTTTCAATGTAAACTCTATGAAAAACTGTAATTCTTATGTTGACTCTCATCTGATTGTAAAATGTACGTGTAAAGATTTTAAATGAAAAATACATTATAAGACTAATATTTTTTCCAATTCTAAGAGAATTATAATTTTAATTCAAAAACAAACCCATTTTAGCGTCAGCGTATAAAAAAAAAACCTTAGAAAATTCATGAATTTTGGCAGCTTAATTCGACGTAAATAAGTCAGCAAAGGTAACATTTTTTACGAATGCAATTGAAAAATTGATATTGTGTTATTTAAAAAAAAATCAGACAATCGATATACATTTCCATTCATATACATTCCATTTAATAATGCATTTTATTTATTTTAAAACACAGATATTTTTGAAGAGTCTTGCTCTTGCAAAGATTTGTTACAACCAGGGTATCATAGGTGACAGTTGTTTTTGAATAATTGACTTGTAGCACATCATAAATGGGAGTCATTCGAGCTGTTTTACCTTTCCATTCCTTGATACTTGTAAAGTAGAACATACCGGTCACTATAAGGCATAGATATAGATAATGTTCCTTAAAATATTGCGTAGAATGATTGTTATAAATGTGATTTTGTCTAATTTGTACGAACTACGAACGTACTAACGGACGTGAGAACATTCGTTCGGTTGTCCGACTGTTTCAATTTTGTTTTTGTATTTTGTAAATAAATGTAACACGACGGAAGGAAATATTAATAAACATTACAAAAGTAAAATTGTCTTTTATTGAAATCTCATATTAACCTGATGCCTGCGTTCTTATGCGACCTTTTTAGTAGAACCAGAGCTGATGTAAGTTAAGAAAAAACTCGGAAAAAATTACATTAACAAGGTTAAAGCATTTACAATTTTCGCTTAAAGATAAGCAGATTTATTTGAAATATTCTTTTTGATGGTTTGCAAATAAGCAAGTCGTCGTTTTCGTAAACAAAATTAGAAAAGACATATTCGAATGCGAAATGCTCAAACGAAGTTATTTCGACTCCCGCGTAATCAGTTTATGTGTACAGCGAAAATGATTGCCGGCTCCCAAATCCTTTTCACTTTTTGTGGCAACAGCAATCCCGACAATCATATTTACGTACGTATATAGCTTAGTACGTTATTATCGAGTTTACTCTCGCGGGCTTTTACATTCTTACAACATATTTCTTATGGGGATTATCTTCAGTGCCACGTAATTTGTACTTTTGGTTCGTTAGTTTTATGAAAACAAACAATTTTAGTCTGCAAGGCAAACTATCTAAAATATATTTTTCGACATCATTCTTTGTAGGATAAGAAATTTTATAGTTCACTATTATGTGACACTCATAGTCATTAAGTGATTACTAAGAGTTTTTTACATTTAGTAGTACTCTACTTAACTGTTTAAGTAACCATTACTGTGGTAAGTTTGAAAAACAACAAATCCGAGTTTGAAGCTGGAACTGAACTTATTTCTAGCCAGTAGTCGGTCAGACCATTAGGGGGATAAAAGTTTTTATTGTCCGTCCTCGCGCCACTTCATGGCCTATTTGCCAGCACTGTACCGCGCTCAGATAAGTTTGATGTCTTCGCCCAGTAACAGGGGACTAGTAAAACTGTTTTATGTTACGTCATTTTGGACTTCTTCGCTGTAAGAAAATATTACATAGCCTTCATGTCGCTACTACGAATTATTGCTGAAAGTGCGCTATGAAAAAATATTACACAAAA